ACACACACACACACACACACACACACACACACACACGTACACACACGTACACACACGTACACACACACACACACGCACACACATAGTGGTTACGTTCATCTGCGCCACACCTTGTGGAACTTGCAGAAAATGGAGAGAGAGGTAGAGAGTGTCTATCTGCACACGATCGTGGTAACCATGTGTGTGACAACGGTGTGCGACAACGGTGTGGGGGGATGCTGGTGCGTGTGGGCAGGTCCAGGGGAGGTTTAATTAGGTAATGGGTGGAGGCAGGTCTGGGTGAGGCTTTTTCCCGGGTGTCAAGCTAGATGGGTGAATGTAGGAAATTTTGAAAAATAACTGGGCGGGCCCCGTTGAGGTGAGACGAAAGTAATAACGATTGGGCGCGGATGGGTTAGAATAAAACAAATTTGGGCGGGTCAAGCGTGGGTGAATGTAAGACAAAAAATGTCCACCTCTGTATTACGAGGCGTTCTATTCGGGTGAAGACGGTAGGTCGAGGACGATACTAAGACGATACTAAGCGTTCTATTCGGGTGAAGACAGTAGGTGAGGAGGAAGACACTCTTGACAGGGAATAAGAAGGTTTTCTGCAATGGAGAGGGGGCGAAAGTTTGTGATAGCGAAGAAGATTTTCATCGATCGCCCGCCGTGCCTCCGCCGCCACCCAGCCACGCGGGCTAAGCTGGACCCAGCCGTGACCCGCCCAGGCCAGCGTAGCTGGGGACCCAGAGCTGACCCATCGCCTTGTGGGTCGGGTGGGTGCGGATGTGGGCGCCTGTCACTCACCTTTACCGTAACTACTGCCGTATCTGGACTGAGCGAATTGCGCCCGATGCAGATATTATTAACGGGCGTTCTATTTAGCGGAAGACAATAGGATGTAGTATTGCTGTGTGCACAAGCTGAGTCACATACTCGCCCTCACAGTCTATCCTCCAAATAAACATACATGTCAAACCGGATCGTGCCCACAGTCACGTATCAGACCGGATTGTACCCAACATTATCCACTGTCAGTCTTCCAAACAAAGATGCATGGAGTACAAGGTATGCAACCAAGAGAGGGCATTCAAAGAAGAGACCTTGCAACATACGCACACCGTGAAACATCCTTTCACATGATCGCATTTTTTTCAAATGGCTGGAAAGAAGTTCGACAAGATGACCACTAGAATCTTTGCCATCCGATTTCGACAAATTTTAGCCTAGTCCCAAATTTTTAGGAGGCCGGGCCCGACAACGGCTGCCGTTGATAAAATCTGATCGGCGGCCGTCGGTTCGTTTCGGCCTCCTGAAAAAGGTCGGAGGCCGACTTTTTTCCAAACCGACAACGGTACTAACAGTCTTCCGCCGAATACAACGTACGGTCATTACAGCTGAATTTGGTGCATCTTTCAGTCTAAATTCAGCTATAATGACCGTACGTACGTACGTTGTATTGCGGGGCTGTCGTGCTTTAAACACGTGATGATGCAAACCAATCGACAACAGAGCAAAATCACAAAAAAGCCGTACGCACAGAGTTATTGAGCTTAGATGTTAAAAGTCACTCTTGTCTCGAGTAGACAAAAGACTGGCAAAAAAACGCATACACAACACGAAACACGGATGCAGACAAATCGAGATAATACAGCACAAGCTCGAAGCTCAGCTGCACACAAAAGACTTGAAAAGAGCGATTAAACTCGACACTAGAGGAGGCTGCTCGTATCAGCCCCCCCTAGTGTTGCTGCTCTGGCGTTTCAAAAAAAAAAAAAAAAAAAAAAAACTCAGCCAGACATCTGAGGCGTCTGCTTTGACAAGGCACACTGTTGTGTTGCGCTGCACGGTGTACACGCAACAACACTCTCTGAAGAGATAAAAAAAATACGGAAAAAAAGGTGTATACATACTACACATCTCAGATTTCATGGGGAAATTTTTTTTTGAAAAAAGTACACATCTCAAATTTCAGGAGAAAAAATGAAGACGTCTCAAATTTCAGGAAAAAAAAAAAGCACACACCTTGTATTTCAGGGAAAAAATAAAATTGCCTACGGAGGACCCCTGACCTCCTGAGCACATTCTGACAATTGACCCAAAATCGATTTAAAAAAAAAAAGAAAAAAAAAAAAAGAGAGCACCATCTTACATCAAGTCAGTGAGTGCCAAGGCTTTTTGAAATGAAGAGGGCCCACCCGTTTTTGTCTATGATTGCAGACGCGAGTTTTGCTTACAACTGCAGCTCGGCGCTCAGAGAGAGAGAGAGAGAGAGAGAGAGAGAGAGAGAGAGAGAGACAGACAGACAGAGAGAGAGAGAGAGAGAGAGAGAGAGAGAGAGAGAGA